TTTTTTTTTTTTTTTTTTTTTGTCCCACCTCATTCCATTCTCTCCGGTGGTCCTTGAACCTTCACCAGCAGGCTGATATCCTGATAAACTCTACAAGTTAGAAGTAAAACAATGTAAAAGGCAAGGTGGGTGTGGCCGCGAAAGAGGTCATGGTGAACCAGAAGTGCAGCTACTCAAATGTATGCAGATAAAGCATTAGGTTCTAGGGCTGAAAGGAAGTACACCAGATCGAAGACTGCCCACGTGATACCTGATGACAGACTTCCAGGGAAAGAGCCCAACCTTTAGGTTTTTCTGCTTAGCCCTCGCTTCCAAACAAAGCAAGCTGCAAGACCAGTCGTAACATCAAGCAGTAGAAAGTTTTCCTTCCTTTGGGAAAAGCTAGTAAAAGCATCTCTCTATGCCCTTTTCTTGCCGAAAGGGCCAGCTTTCTCCTGAGGTCCCTGCTGTCAGAGAAGAGTTGCAAAGGCTGTGATGGCATCGTGCATAATGGCCATTAGAATAAAAATAGGAGTCTCTGTCCATCTAATCCTGCAAGAGTTAATTCCCTTCCCTGAGCCTCCCATTCTTCACCTGAAAAGGGTGGTAGGCAGATTGAACCAGAAAACAAAAGATTTATTTCTAAAAGACTTATTTTTTCTACTTCCTTTACTTCGTTCTTCCAATTAAAAAACTTCAGCACTAAAAACAGTCTAGTCTACCTGCTTCCCATATACCTGAGATTAATTCACATACTTTCTGAGTAACATGATAAAGTCATCTTTAGAAACATATACACACTGGTTTCAGAAGGACACCCTCTGGGGTCTTGGCTGCCAGTCTGGTCCAGGCACACACGGTCAGAACCTTAATGCCAGTCAGCGTCCTTATCAGCATTCACTACCCATGTTCTAGATGATACTCTCTCAGGAGACAATACTTTCCTTTCTAAAATGTATACTCTTTGCTCCGAACAATGAGTATATGAATAGGTCTTCATTTGACTACCTGAACAATCAGCTTCTTATATTATTTATCCAAAGCAGAATCAACTCACCTAATTTGTGTCAAGTCACCAGGACTCTTTGTTGCATAAAAAACATTAAGATATCACCCAACTCTAGCATGAAAGGTTCTTCTGAAATATCTTGTGGCATCAGCATTTTCTAGGTAGTCTAGTACATACCAGTCAAAATTGACTTGATCTGCCAAACATGAAACTCATTCAGTACTGCCCCTGTAGGAGTCATATTGTTATTTACAACTTAATAAACAAAGTTAGCTTTGTTCCAGCCCTTATTATAGTTGAGACTTCCAAATTTACTTCATGTCCGACACTGCCAACGAAGTGTTCAAAGCACTTAATACTTACAAGTCACATCTTGTCCTTTCACATCCACATGAGAGACCAAGCCCTATTTCACTCTTGTTTAAATTTTATTATTGTGGTTATTAGTAATAAACCAATAGAACTAGGGTAACAAAGGGAAACGTTCAAGATAAGTAACTTCTTCCTTATGAATTAAAACACATGCACACACTTGAGTTACTCCCTCCCCACCCAATCCTAATGTACAGACAGCTATACAAAACAGTCCGTAGAGCTCTGTGAGCAGCTGATACCAGGAGCTGGGCAAAGGACCCCAGCTGTATGCAGTCTCAGGCTGATGTGGGTCTAGATGACTAACTTCTCCACACTGAGAGTACTTGTGGTTTCATCCTCTTCATTTGACCCAAAATAGCCCGGGAGGTCCAGCATCCTCTGCTCAGCCTCAGTGAGGCCAAATGACGTATTATCATAGAAGGCAAACTCAGGGTGGGCTGGGAAACTCTGACACTTGTCTTTTCTACCCTGAGAAGGGCTCAGGGGGCTGACCCTCTGGTAGCTGTCTTTGGGGGCAGTGGGGGAAGGCTGCTTCCTTGAGACACTCCTGTGACTGGGGGACGGTCCCCTCCGAGATCTGTGAGGCTCTGTTCTCTCACCTCCTACCACGAAGCTTGCCTGGCTGTCCCCCAGGTCTGGTTTCCTCACGGGCTGCCCCAAGGTGTAAGACTTAGGGGCAGGGCTCAATGGACCTCTGGTTGCACCCGCCCCTTCCGGTTTCTCGGGAAACGGGGCGGCGCCTCGACTGTGAGGCCGAAATCTGTCTTCCGCCTGGTCCCAGGTCCGCGTCCTAGAACTGTACGCCGGGGCCTGGCGTGGAGTCAGGGTGGACATGCTCCTCTCCCGGAACGGCCGGGCCTGCTTGGCTTCGTGAAAACTAGCGGTCCTCCTGAAGTGGGAGCCCCTGGGGTGGCTCCTTTCCGGCAGCGCCCCTCTGCCGCCCACGTGCCTCGTGGCTGACTTGCGGATCACAGTCTGGCTGGGGCTGACGGCGCAACTGGCCTGACACGCCGGGTGGTCGGGCCTGGAGGGGGGCCTGGCCGCGGCCCCGCCCGCCGGCTGCTCCAGAAACGGGGATTTGATCCGGAACTTGTTTGCCGCAGCTTCGTCTGGGCTTTCCACGTCTAAGGGGGGCACGACGGCGGCGGCGTCGATGGCCGTGTCTGTCAGGGGACTCTGAGACACGTGGTACACCTTGGTGGTTTCCGTCAGGCCCTTCTTCTTCATCTCCTTCAGCTGCTGCTGGGCCAGGCGGTAGCTGAACAGCGGGGGGATGATCTTCTGGGCGTTGGACTGCACGCTCTCGCTGCCAGAGGCGTCGTCCTCGGGAGCCGCGGGCACACTGCGCCTGTAGGTCAGGGGGATGCCCGCGTCCCCCGGGCCCCCCGCGGGCCCGTCGCCCGCGTCCGAGAAGCTGCCGCGCTGCTCGCTCAGCTCGCAGATGTTCTCCTCGTCTGAGTTCTTCCGGAAGCTGGGGGAGTGGATGGAGTTGTGTCGAGCCGGCGTGCGGCACTTCGGGGTGCGGCCGAACTTCCGCCACAGCGTGATGAGGACGGTGGCGAGGATGATGAACAAGCACAGGGAAATCCCAGTGACGGTCACGATGTTGTTGGACTTCACCGGACCCTGGGGCTGAAGAGGGGATGCACTGGATGGCTGGAAAGCTACAAGACAAGGGAGAGCAAATGTATTCTCTGGTATTGATTCTCTGCGTGGTTTTAAGGTTCTGATTATCTGGCAGTTCTAGAAAAAAACGTAAAATAAACAAGGACTGGGATTTCGGGTCTTAACACACGTGTCTCTGCTGGCAGCTTAAACAAAACCAAACAAAAAAAAAACCCCAAACAACAAAAACAATAACGACAACAACAACAACAAAACGAACAAAAAACACCAAGGCACACGGAAATGAGGTGAGCAGATAAACCACAATCAGGGGTGACTTCGGGGCTCACTGGCTCCTGCTAACACGTGTCTCAAATGTTCCACATAGAAAGCAGCAGCATAAGGAAAGTGTCAGGGTAAGATCAAGATAAGGTGAACACGGGATATCTATAGTTAAATGTACCTTTGAGATGCACATCAGAAAATTCCTATCAAGTATTAAAACCTGACATGCAAAATGATTCAGGTAGGTTGTATCTCAGTTCGCATATCTGAAGAAATTAATAGGTGAAAATAAGTCTTTAGGCAATAGCGAACGCTCCACGAATGTGTGTCATCCTTGCACAGGGGCCATGCTAATCTCTGTATGGTTCCAATTTAGTACATGTGCTGCGGAGACAAGCACAAGTCTTTAGGTAATGTAATGCAACTCAAGTTTCCCTTCTAATGTCAAAGAACTTGCTTTCCTGGTTGAAGCCTCTTCTGCTCACTGTTCTCTTTCCAGCTGTCCTCTCCTCTTGCCTCCTTCCATGGGGTGTTGATTTATCTTTTTCTTCCCTGCCGTCTCCAACTGCTTTGTCCCATGGCCATCAAAATGTTTCACCAAGCTTCAGACACCAGCTGGGGCCTCAGCCTGTACTGTCACTGAAATACCCAGGAAACTGAGACCACCTAATGCCACCGGGCCTCCCCTCTCTTACCTCTTTGTCACTGACCACCCTTCAGGGGCTTCCAGTCACCTGTCCTGTCCCATTGCCCCCCTAAGTCTTACCGCTACCAGCTCTGTGTGTCATGTCCATAACCCACTTTCCCACTGCTTCCCTGTCTTTTCTGCTCCCCCCCACCAATGGGATAGCCAAACTCCTCGGCATCCAGAACCTTTCCCTTTGCCTCCTTCCTTGCCTTACCTGAGGGGACTGGATCTCCTGAGGGGCACGGCTTCCCCTGCCCACCCTTTTGTGTGGAAGCTGCGATGCACACTTGTTTATAAGCAAACAAGACCAGCAGCACGGAGTGTTCCTCACTCTTCTCATTCCTGATTGCCATTTTCAACTGTTTCACCTCCGGATCAAAATTCTACTTAAAAAAAAAAAATTCTCTATGCTGTACTTTCCACTTCCATGACTTATTTATTTTATAACTGTAAAGTCTGTACCTCTTAATCTTCTTTATTTTGCCCATCTGCCCCACTCACCTCCTTTAGGCAACAAGCAGTCTGTTCTCTGTTTAAGAATTAATTTTTTTGTTTTGTTTTTTAGATTCTACAAATAAATGATAGCAGGTGGTATTTGTCTCACTTATCTTAATACCTCTCCTTTATCCATTCCATCTACTGATGAGCACTTGGGTTGCTTCCATATTTTGGCTATTGTAAATGCTGCTGCAATAAACATAGGGTGCATGTATCTTTTAGAATTAGTGTTCATTTTCTTTGGGTAAATACTCAGTAGTGGAACTACTAGATCATATCATATTTCTATTTTTTTTAATTTTTGAAGATCCTTCATAGTATTTCTGCAGTAGCTGCATCAATTTACATTCCTACCAACAGTGCACAAGATGCTCTCTTTTCTCCATATCCTCACCAACACTATTTCTTGTCTTTTTCGTACTAGCCATTCTGTCTGCTGTGAGGTGATATCTCATTGTGGTTTTTATTTGTATTTCCCTGATGATGAGTGATCTTGACCATCTCCTCATGGGTCTGTTGGCCATCTGTACGTCTTCTTTGTAAAACTGTCTATTCATGTCCTCTGCCCTTTTTGAATTGGATTCTTTGTTGTTGTTTTTTGTTTTTGTCTTTTCTTTTTTTTTTTTTTTTTTTTTTTTTTTTTTTTGGTGTTGAGTTTTGTCAGTTCTTTATATTTTTTGGATATTCACCCCTTATCAGATATATGCAAATATCTTCTATTCAGTAGGTTGCCCTTTTGTGTTGTTGATGGTTTCCTCTGTTGTGCAGCAAAAGCTTTTTATTTGTAGTCCCAATTGTTTATTTTTGCTTTTGTTTCCCTTGTCTGAGGATAAATATCCATAAATATGTTACTAAGGGTGATATCCAAGGTGTCTTCTACTCTTCTGATGCCCATGCCATCAACCCAGACCATCCGCCTAATGCCCCCTCAACATTGCCATCCTCCAACCTTGTGGCAGCCATCAGTCACTAGCACCTGGGTCTCAGTCTTCCTTACCATCCTACAGGTAGGCCCAACTGGGCAATGTCAGTGCCCATCCAACATATAAAGCCTTACCATTGTTTGCAGCTGCTCCTCTTCTGAAATACTCAATTTCATAGCCTATTTTCAAGCTATTTTATGAATATTCAATTTCATAGCCTATTTTCTTCTCCTCTCACTCGGCCAATATTATTACACTGGTTTCTCAACCTCACTGCAATTTCTGATTCCCCAACTCATCCATTTATTTTCTCCCCATATGCCAGCCAACTCCTGGCCTCACTTCTCTCCCTACACTTATGATCCACTACATAAACCAGTCTCTTACCAATAACCTCTCTCTGACCTTTATAACTGAGCCATCCTCCTTTCCCCGATCTACAGCAAAAGTCCATCCCTAGGTAAACCAAAACGTGAATTACCAGCTGCTGCACCAAGGTGCGGAGCACTGGTGGAGAAAATAATGCACTGTGTGGGTCAGTGCCTCTGCATACCGACAGCCCCCAACCTCAGCTGCCCACAGCATGGGCAGCACGGGCTCCTAAGCAACTCAATTCTTTCATTCCCTACAAGTTTCACCACTTTTCTCAAGTCCCCTACCAACCCTCCTCCTCAGAATGCCACTGATTCACACAAAAATAGAAGCTATCTGGAAAGTACACCCCCAGCTTCTTTTGCCATTTTCTTCTCCCATGCAGACTTAGGAGCATCCACACTTCTATTTACTTCTTTCTCTATGGAGTGGAAGAAGTATCTTCCTAGAAAGGTGGGTCCACCAAGTGCGCTCGGTCACCCTTCTCCAGGGGGATCAACCCTCTGTACCAGTTCTCTCCAGCTTCTCCCCTATGCAGCTCCGTGCAAACATGCTTAAGCTCTCACTTTAAAAAGACCCTTCTAGAACCCTCTCACTACTGCCACAACCATCTTATTCCTTGTCCTCCCAGCAAAGCTTAAATAAAGAAGACTCTATATTTGCTGACTTACCCCTTCCACATCATCACCTCTGAGTCCTGCAACCTGACTCCAGAATTAGTTTCAGTGAAATAGTTTCTGCTGAGGTCATTAATGATCTAGTAGCTAAATTCAAAAAAATTTAGTCCTGATATTCCTTGACTGCAGTATTGGCTACTTCCCAACACTTCCTGAAACTTTTTCTCTTCTTGGCTTCACCGATAGTACTCACTTAATTTGGAGCAAAGAACATCGACTTTGGAGCAAGGCTCCATTAGCTCTACTCTCTCCACCAACGTCCCATCAACACCTTCACTTTCACATGCCCAAGACTCATCCTCTTTCCCCCAGAACCTGGGTCTCATCCAATATATCCAATCTCAAGGAAACAGCACCGCTGTCCATGAAGCTGCCAGTACTAGAATCCTGGTTTTAATCCTTGATACTTCCCTCTCCATCACTTTCCACATCCGGAGTCTTTGACCCCTTCCCTCCTCTGCCTCTCCACTGTCATCATTTCATTTTTCACCTGAAAAACACTTAACAGGCCTTGCTGCTGCCATTCCTACCCCTTCCAATGTATTCTCCATACTATAGCTAAGAGATCCCTCTGAAATACAGGCCAAACCTTGAAAGTCCCTTAGAATCTGGCTCCTACCTACCTGTCTGGGTTCATTTTTACCACTCCGTCTGGTACACTATGCTCTAGATACATTAAACTATTTTCAGTTCTTTGGCTGTCTTAATGTGCCATCTTCTTTCATGTTTTCATCCATTGTTCCCCTTGCTAAATTCCCTTTCTCACTTGGTTCACCTCAGTGACACCTACTCAACTCTCAAACTTTAGCTCAGATATCACCACCTCCAACAAAGGAGTTATTCCCAGCATGGATTTTCACCCCGGAAAGCTTCCATAATAAGCCGTGGATACTTTTTTCACTGTATATTATTCCTGTGTGTCTGCTGAGCTACTATATCCTAAGTGCCTTCCAGATAGGAACAATGCCTTATCTTCATACAGTAAAACCTTCGTTTGCGAGTATAATTCATTCCAGAAACATGCTGGTAATCCAAGGCACTTGTATATCAAAGCAAATTTCAAGAACCACTGGCTCAATTGTGATCGTGTGGCATTTGGCATCATGTACTACTCGTACTGCAAGACATTGCTTGTTTATCAAGTTAAAATTTATTAGAAATGTTTGCTCGTCTTGTGGAACACTCATAGACGAGTTACTCGCAATCTAAGATTTTACTATATTCCCAACCCCAGTCATAGTAACTTACACATAGCTGGTATCCAATAAATGTTAGATTAATTCATTATTAAAAAGGTAATAGCAAAATGATCAATATCCCACCTGACAGAATGTGGACATATGGCAGTGGATCCTCCCATTCTCAAGTTTGAACGAGATGGTCAAATTAACATAGAACTTGACAAAAAAACATCCTTCAAAGCCAAATAAAACTAAACTCTTAACCAAGTGAACCTGGCTGAATGATGAAAGACTTGTTTCCTGACATCACTCCATTCAAGTACAGTGGCTGCTTACCTCCATGGGGAGCAGCAATTCAATTGCACATCATGGTCGCTTTATTTAGCTGTTATCTTTGACTGTGCTGGCTCCCTTCAAAACCATGGCTGGAGAAAAGCCCAAGAGCTGCTGACCTCACCCCTCTCTGCCTCATCTGCTTCCCTCTTTCACTTGAAGTGAAGATTTCCAGATGCTAAGCAGCCTACGAACAGATCTTTACATTTCCAAGGAGTGTGAAATAGATTGAATACGAAGATGAACACTTGGAAGAAATTATCATCTTTATCCACATAAGCATGTATCTGAGGACCTTTTTGCTAATTTATAATTTCTAGTTCCCAAATTTTCCAAAAATCTAGTACAAATTTCTAGTTCCCACCCAATATTAAAGAGTCAAGACAAAAGAATATGAAATAATTCCATATATCCTCAAAATTAATTGCTAATTCCAGGTTGTTGATGCTTCCAGAAAGCTAGACTGGCCCATGCAGAAAGGCAAGGTATTCAAGATAGGTAGCTTAGAAGGGTCAGATCTAATCCTCTGCTTTCTAGCTTTATGGTCTTGGGCAGGTCAGTTATCCTCTCTATGCTACAGAGTCCCAATTAAGTGTGATAATGTATTTAAAGTGCTGGCACATAGCAAATGGTCAACAAACCATTTATATCTTGTCACTTCTAAGGTACAGAAGCCAGTGACAATTGATTTTAAATTCAATTGAGTTCATCCATTCATTCACTCATTTATTCCTTCATTATGGAACTCTAGATAGAATATCTTAACATAACATGCCATCCCAGAATTGAGAGGAACAGATATATTTGAAGGTACTTATACCCAAGAAAGGAGCTGTGAAAGTGAAGGGGACTTATAAAGAAAGAGTAGACAGAGAATAGAGCCTAGAAAATAATACAAAATATAACTGGAGATAGAACAGATTCAGAGTGGGGTCAAGGCCTTATGAAAGAAGAGGGGCAGGCTAAGGGCTAGCAGAAGAGCTTAAGTCTGAGGAAAATCAGAAGAAAGAACATCCTCCGATGCTGGAATAAAGGGAACAAGTCTGGCTGGAAAAATGAGACAGCAAAAATGAATTTGTAAGATCACATGTGGGGGACACTGGCCAAGGTGTTGCCACGTGCCTGTGGTTTTTGCTTAAAGATGCTCTGAGATCCAAACACAGAAAAAAATCTTAAGGGACAAAGAACTAGGGATGGTTTTCTAACCTGGAATTGGAGAGTGGAAGAAGTCAGGACTTGACAGAAGGACTTTATCTAAGGGTCAGGACCAAAGCAAAGGCTGTCAAATTAAATGGGGGGCTGTTTGTAGATCAGTAGGTGAGATGGTGTGTGGAAAGAACAAGGATTAGTATTACTGTAACCTGTAGCAAATGAATGGAATTCAACTCCATAAGCTGAAGCACACCTAACCGAGCTTGTCAGCATTACATCTATAAACCATTCATATCAAAATTCACTGAACACCCACGAGTGCCTTCAAGATGCTGAGAGGATGACAGAAAGGCCAGTCTCTAGATGATGACAAGAAGAAATCTCCCCACCTTCTCCTCCTGAATAGGGGTAATAAAGAGGAAATGAAAGGCCATTCAGGGATAAGACAGGGTGACTTGACCCATTTTGACAAATAACCGTCTATATGGTCCCCTCGAGCTTCTCTGAGATGATGAGAAAAAGCATTTTTTACATGTTCTTCCACAATTTTAGCAGGAAGAAGTAAAGGATAGATAAGAAAACAAAAGCACAACCAAAAATACCTCAGGAAGAAAAGATCATCCCTCCTATTTTTGTATTTTTAAAAATGATTTCCTTGTCATTTCCCTGTCTTCCATAGTGTGAAATCCCCCGCCATCTCACTGGCCAGCTACTCCCAGTCACAGAAAAACTACTGTGTATAGCCTTAGTGAAGCCAGCAGCAATAACAGAGTGTCAATGAGTCCACCTCTGAACTCAGGTTGGTGATTTTCAGGCAGGTCTAGGTTCAACAGTCCCTCTGTGGAGAGATTCCCGAAGAAAGAAGAATACCTACCAGCACACTCCTCCAGGGAACACAGGGAGGTCTCCGAGGACATTCCAGGGCAGCCAGGTCTGGAGGGGAAGGAAGTCAGGCACACGCGGCGTCGCTCTCTGACACCATCCCCACACGTGGCACTACACTGGCTCCACGGCTGCCACAGTCCCCAAGTTTCTGCAAGGACATTAGCCATGCTTTTAATGCTAGTTCATTTGAGAATCAGAATTTAACTGTACCCAAATGAAGCAGCAAACTCAAATCTCAGGCCTTGAAAAGTCAGTAAATAAAAATATTCCCAAAGATGCGGAAAGCTGAAAGAGTGTGTAACCACCCTTAAAACAAAGGAAAGCTGTATAATTTACAAAATAGTAACCTTTTTGGAACTCATCAGAGAGCAAAGGTCACAGGACAACCAAATGGCCTGAAGGAAACACAGCCTCCTCTAAGGCAAGACAGGATGCAAACCTTGCTTCCTGAGATAGATACCAGGCCTCATAAAAGCTAGTGGAAAGAAGTCATCTGAAAACATATGAACTGCTAGAAGCCTAGTGTGGGCTAGCATGAGAATATAGAATCCCTGGGAGCCATATCCTGCACTCCCTGGGAGTACATATCCTATGGGAATTTGTACCCACTTGCAGGTTCTTCGTGGATCTCATCAAATGCTCACAAGAAGGACTGAGGGTAAGTGCAAGGCCAGAGAGGGCCTTCCTTTTAGTTCAGGCCTGAGGATAGAAGGAGTGGCACTGTGGGAAAGACAAACCTCATGTGGATTCTCCTCCCCATCTGCTCTACCAACAAAAGCCTCAACCACTGGGGGGGAAGCAGCAGCCCTGTCACTTTAAGGGCACCAGTTGAGACACAATGCTGCTAAGGAATGCAAAAAGAAGGAAATCCTTCACCCCTGAAGAGGAGCAGAAAATATACTGAGTCCAGACTATTAGAGAGCTTCCACCACTGAAGAGAGGCAAGATCAAGAAGGCCCCATCCCTGAGACTCAGGGGCACAGCATTTATCTAAGACTAAGGATGAAATGGAACAAGAAAAAGCTCTCCAGCTCCCATCACCCAAACCCTACCCTGCACCATGCTAGCAATTTCCAAGTATCACTAATAACAACGCACTGCTACAGCAGGGGCAAGAGCGACAGATGACAACCTCTCTTGTGTGCAGGCTCAAGCCTAAAGCTGAGGGTGGAGAAGCCTGGCAAGCCAACTCCTACCCTAACTGCAAAGTAACATTAGAAAATTCTGAACTCTATCATGTACTGAGGATGGCCATAGCAACAGCACAAACCCAAACACAGCTTAATTCCTTAGTGCACTGACCCAATCCCCACACCAACGGCCTAGCAAAAATAGGGTATGCCCATTTCCCCACATAAGTACTATTTATTGTCGTCTACAGTTCTACATAAGATGTGCAACTTTCAACCAAAAATTATGAGACACACAAGCAGCAAGAAAAAAACTACCAATAAATAAAGTAATCAAGAGAACCAGACCCAAATGTGATCCAGGTATTAGAACTATCAGAGAGAGAAGTTAAAATACTATGATTAACATGAAAGACTTTAGTGGAAAGGTAAACAAGATGAATAGATAAAAATTTTCATTAGAGAGTTATAAACTAAGAAGAGGTGAATGGAATGCTAGAAATGAAAAACACAGAACAAAGATGAAGAATGCCTTCTAGAATGCTCATAAGTAGACTTACTGAGGAAAGAAACAGTAAATTTAATATAGGTCAATAGAAATCACTCAAACTGAGACACAAAGATTAAAAAGAGAGAGTGGGGGTGCCCAGGTGGCTCAGTTGCTTGAGTGTCTGACCTTGGCTCAGGTCATGATCTCATGGTTCGTGGGTTTGAGCCCCATGTCAGGCTGTGTGCAGACATGTTCAGCCTGCTTCAGATTCTGTGTCTCCCTCTGTCTCTGCCCTCCCCTGCTTGCGCTCTGTCTCTGTCTCTATTGAAAATAAAACATTTTTAAAAAATAAAAAAAAATTAAATTAAAAAAATAAAAAATAAAAAGAGAGAGTGAATAAAACAGAATGGAATATCCAAGATCTGGGGGACAACATCAAATAATCTCTTGCTCATGTTATTAGAATCCCAAAAGAAATCAAAAAATGACCAAGAATTTTCCAAAATTAATGACATATACTAAGCTCTACCCAAGACGCTCAGAAAACATCAGGCAGAATAAATACAAAAAAGCAAATAAACAAAAAGAAGTTAGACACACTATATTTAAACTGATAAAAACAAACAAACAAACAAAAAAAAAACTTTTAAGGCTGTGGGAGGAGGAGGGAAGGTGGAAGCAGCAAACACATTGTATGTGGAAGAATAAAGATGAGAAATTGAGCAGACTTCTTGTCGTGTAATCCAAGGATAGTGGAGTAGTATCTCTAAAGAAATGAAAGAAAAAAAAAAAAGACCGATCCAAAATTCTTCCAAAAATTAAGGAGAAATAAAGATTTAGACAAACAAAAATCAATAAAATTAATTACCAGCAGACCCTCACTACAAGAAATGTTAATAGAAAATCCTTCAGGCAGAAGGAATATGATACCAGAAAAAAAATTGTGTCTGTACAAAGAACTGAAAAGTGCTGGAAATGGCATTTATAAAGGTAAAAATAAAACTCATTTTTTCTTATTTTTAAATGCTCTAAACTATAACTGCTAAAGAATAATAGTACTATGTATTCAGAGCATATATAAAGTAAAATGTATGACAATAATCACACAAAGAATGGGAGTAATGAATTGGGAGTGTACTATTAATTAGGTCCTTATGCTACATGTGAAGCAAAACATTATTACTCAAAGGTAGATCAAGAATAATTAAAGATATATATTGTAAACTCCAGGACAACCACAAAAAACATTTTAAGGTATAAACAATAAACCAATAGTGTGGTTAAACTAACTCATAAAAAATATTCAATTAACACAAAAGAAGGCAGAAATGAGGAAAAAGAAACAAAGAACAGAAGAAACAGAAAACTACCAAGATGACAGATCTTAATCTAACCAAATAATGGTTACACTAAATATAAATAATCTAAACACACCTCTTAAAAGATAGAGATTGTGAGATTGGGTAAAAAAGCATGACCTAACTATATGTTACTTAAAATAAACTCACTTAAAACACTAATTCAAAAAGATATATGCATTCCAATGTTTACTGCAGCATTATTTACAATACCCAAGATATGGAAGTAACCAAAGTGTCCATTGATAGATGAATGGATAAAAAAGATGTAAGGTAGGTACACACACACACACACACACACACACACACACACACACACGCACACACACACACTGGAATAATACTCATCCACAAAAAAGGATGAGATCTATAGGGCAAAAAAGGATGGACCTATAGGGAATTATGCTAAGTGAAATAAGTCAGACTGGGAAAAATAAACACTATATGATTTCACTCATATGTGGAATCTAAAAAACAAATGAATAAACAAACAAAAAGCAGAACTAGATGTATAAATACAGAAACAACCTGATGGTTGCCAGAAGGAAGGGGGTGATGAGATGGGAAAAATGGATGAAGGGAAGAGAGAAATATAGGCTTCCAGTGAAGAAATGAGTAAGTCATAGGAATAAAAGGCACAACACAGAGAAAATAGTCAAAGACATTGTAATAGCATCATATTGTGACAAATGGTAGTCACACTTGTGTTGAGCTAAGCATAACATATAGAGAAGTTGAATCACTATGTTGTACACCTGAAACTAGGTAACATTGTGTGTCAACTATACTCAGTTAAAAATTTTGGGGCGCCTGGGTGGCGCAGTCGGTTAAGCGTCCGGCTTCAGCCAGGTCACGATCTCGCGGACCGTGAGTTCGAGCCCCGCGTCGGGCTCTGGGCTGATGGCTCGGAGCCTGGAGCCTGTTTCCGATTCTGTGTCTCCCTCTCTCTCTGCCCCTCCCCTGTTCATGCTCTGTCTCTCTCTGTCCCAAAAATAAATAAAAACGTTGGAAAAAAAAATTAAAAAAAAAATTTTTTTTCACTAAAAAACTTACTTTAAATATTAAATACATAAATAGGTTAAATATTAACAGTTGGGAGAAGTTAAACCCATGAACATTCATTAACCGAAAACTGGAGTAACGATATTAGCATCAGACAAGGTAGACTGCAGAACAAGGGATACTACCAGGAATAAGAGGGACATTATTACATAATGATAAAAGGGTTAATCTAGAAAGGAGTCTTAACAATCTTAAATGGGGGTGCACCTACCACCAGAGCTTCAAATTCATACCAAATATTCCCAGAACAGTTTAATGACTGACACATGCAAGCATCTCTTCCAAGCATCTATGTAATCACTGCCAGATAGAATAATTAAGTAGTCTCCCACAAAAAATTGTTCTAAGACCCTTCTCTATCAGTACCCATCCAACCTCAAGACCCAGGTCATACCAACCCTGGGCACCAAAACACCCTCTGCATAAAAGTCTTTCTTCATCATTTATGGACAAAAGTTCAATACATTCACAGGTATATAAAGCACTAGGAAAACATAAGAACACATAGGGCAGATACATTCTCAGGTAATCCAAGTGGTGCAATCTTTGAAATGAGTCATGGAGTATGAGCTCTTTAAAGCAATTAAAAGTCTCTGGGATTTTCACAAGAGTGGGAGCATTACAAACCACAACCCTGGACCAACATCAACTGAGGTGTGGTAATTATGTTCCATCCAGAGGTCCAACTGAACACAATATTGGTTCTGTGTCTCCAGATTACACTGCAGCTCCTCAAATGGAAGAACAATAAGCCAGCTTTGTCCTTAAGCTACAGAGCTATTCAGACACTAAGCCCCTCGTGCCTGCAAAGCTTTGGGACTCTCATATTAAACTCTCTTTGAATTAAAGTATGGTGATTTATTTTTGAAAAATCAACTGGGAATTCCACTACTGAGAAATCTAAACTGAAAATTAAGTCAGTGCATAGTTTATCCTTCTCTTATGCTCATATTTAAGACCACAAAAGGTAGAATTACAAATGCTAATAATCTTTTTGTAAACTCTCATTTACTTTACATGAATATAATTTATTTAATATATAAAGTTATTTGTCAAACTAAAAACAAAAATTCCACTAGTAGTGGCCAGGAAAAAAAAAATCAAAGTT